TATGTGGCGGTTGGGTTTCTGATAAGCTGAGGAGTCCAAGAGGTTTATGCATGAAGGCATTGGAAGCCATAAGGCTCGTAAATCATTAGTTTCCTCTTACGATTTTTCTTTTTTTTTTGGGGGTTTTGTTTTTGGGGGGCGGGGGGTTGCTGGGAGAATTGACTATGACAGCTCGGCACGAACCTTTTTCTATGGACGTGCAGAATTTTGTTGTTGTAACTTTGCCAGTCTTTACCATTTGAGCTGTCCAAGATGAGTACTCTATGCACTGAGAGGAATTTCATGGGAGTTGTAAAATGATTCTAGGATCTTGTATTTATAACCCTCTAGTGGGTTTGCCAATATCGATAAATTTTGTCAAAAAGATTGCTATGGCTCATATGAAATTTGAAGGTCCGTCTTTCTATTGTCTGTGGTGTTCCCAGGAGACTTGGATACGTTTCATCCATCGCGCGCTTCTTATGCTTACAACCTTTGGGCCATTGTATTTGGAGCGGCCTTCCCATGAGGAGAGACATTTCTGCTGTGGTTATTTATGTCGAAGCCCATGCCAAACTCTTTTATCTTCATTAGGGATGGCAACGGGACGGGGTTGGAGTGGAGGATTCTTCCCCTGCCCCCTGTCCGGTTGCCAAATAAATCCCCTTGCCTCGCCCCGCCTCGTGTTTCCCTGGGGGGAAGAAGACAAATGGATCATTTACATGTAAAAGGTACATATATCAGAAGCAAGGGTAGCAAAAGCTCTTGATAAACTGCCTTACATGGAGACATTGACCGGTTGGGGTGGAGGATTATTCCCCTGATCCCCTGCCCCCTGTCCGGTTGCCAAATAAATCCCCTTGCCTCGCCCTGCCTCGTGTTTCCCTGGGGGGAAGAAGACAAATGGATCATTTACATGTAAAAGGTACATATATCAGAAGCAAGGGTAGCAAATGCTCTTGATAAACTGCCTTACATGGAGACATTGGTCAATGACAAGCTGCTTCAAAAAAACAGCCAGATGAGAAGCTAGTCGTATAGATTCTTCTCCCATCACTTCCCAACCATCTCTTGAAACTATAAAAAGTAAGCTATCAAGGACAAGCTGTTTTTTCCAATATGACAGGAAGTATCCAATCAACAATAACTTTAAAGAAACAACTAATAGATTGCGGACGTGAGTCTCAACAAAAACTAGTTGGATTATATATGTATGTATGTATGTATGTAATTTTTTAAAATTTACTATGCAGGGGATAGGGCGATGGATGGGGCAGATGTGTGCTACCCCGCCCCATCCCAGTACTCTCTCATTGCCATGTCTAATCTTAATATTCATTGATGTCATTGCCACTCTTTTTCATTTTAATTTCAATGCAGTGAATGACCTGAGAACTATGACGCTTAAAATAATATTTTTTTTTTCATAATATTAAATGTAACCTGCGAGAAACACTGATATAAAGTTAAAACAAACTCACAACTCCTCGTGAGACTTGCACCAGAACCTCTGAAGTCCAGGGTCTAAACATTTTTAGCGAGACCAAGGCTTCATCTGCCTTAAGTCGTAACTAGAGTTAATGGCAACTTTGATGAGAAAGCTTTCAACATCTCTACAACAGGACTTGGATTATTCGGTAAAATGAAACATTTTCTGCATTCAAAATCCAAATCATGATCCCCCTAGGCGTCTAGATTATTTCTAGCTGTTCCAATGAATTGCCCTGCAACCGCAGGCATTTTCAACTCAACTTCGTCATTTCCTTGAGTAGTTTAGCATCAGGAAAGTCAAAGCCTGGGTTTCAAATTTTGGTCCACTTATGATGGTCAAATGACAAGGGTACACTTTTTACCTTCGCCATGTAAACAAGATACATAACTGTTGAAGATATTTTGTAATTTCTATGATGATCGCAATTGGATTTTTGGTTTCTTCATCATGTATGTATATATGGCACCCAGTCAGTCACGCGTTTCCATTCTTTCCCTGCTCCACAGAACTCCGTCTTTGCCAAAATCACTCTTAATCTCATTCGAGAAAGAGTCAAAAACCTCCAAAAATATCCACTTGTATTCAACATTTATGGCTTCTTGTAGAATTCAAGTTCTAAAAGCTCCTTCAACATCAAAGCAACAGTTGCTGATGATTAAAAGCTGTTTAGAGAAAATCATATCCGATTCTCTGATTCTTAGACCGCATCTTCAACTTCAAGAGAATCTTCTGTTCTTTTCATATTACTCCTGAGACTTTGAAGTGCTTCATAGATTTGAATTGTCTTTCTAGAGGATGAATCACCTGAGAAGAAAACATCAACCTGGTTTTTCACTTCAATCCAGCTGCATCCTGGGGTCTTCTTTAATCCTCTTTGCCTCACTGATGACCTCAAATTTGCTGCCTTGTCTTGTAAACCAGCATCTACATACAAGTTCAACAAGGGTATGTAGTAGCTACCGTTGGTAGGATCCATCTTGAATAGACTTTGGGCAGCCAATTCCCCAAGCTCTATCTTGCGATGGACTTGGCAAGCTGATAATAAACATAGCCAGACGCTCTGGTCAGCCTCAATATGCATGTTGTTTATGAAACCATAAGCATCATCCAAGAATCCAGCACGACCTAACAGGTCCACCATGTTAATGTAGTGCTCCATTCCAGGCTCAACTCTGTATTCTCTCATCAGTTCATATAATTTCAGGCCTTCATTGACCAAACCTGAATGGTTGCAAGATGAAATCAGGGAAAGAAATGTCACACCATCAGGGTAGATACCAGAGGTTCTCATTTCATTGAAAAAATTGATTGCTTTAGGGAATTCTCCGTGAGATCCATAACCAGAAATCATAGTGTTCCAAGTGACTAAATTCCTAGTAGACGTGTTATGGAACACGTGCTCAGCATACACAAAGGATCCACATTTCATGTACATGTCAATCAAAGCATTCTCCATTTGAATATCATGTAGAATTTGAAGTCTCATCTTGTAAGTATGAATTGCCTTCCCTTTAAGCAATGCCACTGCTGATGAGATAGCAAGAAGAACGGTGGTAATTGACACAGGGTCCGGATACAAGCCATGCTGCATCATTTCAGGAAGAAGACTAATTGAAAGATCTAAGAGACCATTTTGGCAGTAACATGAAATTAAAGAATTCCAAACCACCAAGTTCTTGTTCAAAATGTCAGAAAACACAGTTTTAACCAGCCTTGGTTGTCCCCATTTAGAGTAAAATTCCATAAGGGCACCACCAACGAAGGCATCCAATTCCAATCTTCTCTTTATGACAAACCCATGGATACTGCAACCAAGATCTATATTTTCTAATCCCACACAGGAATTTATTACACTTGCCATAATATCAGGATCTGCTTTCATACCATTGGACTCCATTGCTTTAAACAAATCCAGAGCCTCCTTGAATCTCCTGTTTTGGCTATGACCTGATATTATAGAACCCCAAGCAACTACATCCTTTCTCTCCATGCTGCCAAAAACATCAAGAGCATTGACCAGACTTCCAGACTTTGAGTACATAGTCAAAAGAGAACTCTGCACAGCAAGGTTATTCTGTATTGGTCTTTTAACGATCTCTGCATGAATTGCCCTCCCAAAATCATACAATTCCATCACACTGCAAGCTACTAGAATATCTGATATAGTGAATGAATCAGAAGGAATTGCACCTGATCTCATCTGATAGTACATATCCAAAGCATCATAAGCAGTGTTATTCCCAACATAAGCTGAGATCATGGAGTTCCATATCTCAACTCCTTTATTTGCTACAGAGTTAAAAGTCTTTGCTGCATCTTCAACTAATCCACACTTAGCATACATGCTCAATAGAGAAGTACAAACATATTGTTCGTCCTCACAACCCACCTTAATCACATCAGCATGAACCTGCCCTCCGAAGTCTAAATATCGAACATGAGAACAAGCAGCCAATGCAGTAGATAACGTAGAAGCCACAAGTTTGTAACCCTCATTCTTTACCAATGTATACAGCTCCAGACTGTCATTCCACCATCCATTCTCATAAAAACCATTTATCATCGCATTCCAAACTACAATACTACTATTCTTATCCTGCAGCCTCTCAAAAACATTCCAAGCACCCATTGGCCAACCGAAATTGGAATACATATCAATCAACGCAGTTATCACAAAAGTGTCATAAAGAAACGACTTTCTAACAACATAACCATGGATTTCCTTTCCACTTCGAACACCAAAATTGGAATCGAGCGCACGAAGGAGAATACAAAGAGAATATCCGTCTGGGCTAACACCAGACGACTGCATTCGATGAAACTGAAACAAGCCCTCCTTGATAAGCCCATTTTTGAAGAACCCATCAATCATAGAGTTCCAAAATGTAACATCCTGAGCCACTGCTGTCGAGTGCGTCCCATTTTCAAACATCTGGACTGCATTGCAAAGAGACCCGCATTTGACATACATATTAATGAGTGAAGCGGCAGTGTAAGGGTCAAATTGAAAACCCATTGTGATGATGGTGGCATGGATAGCGATTCCATGGCCAAGATTTGAGAGAGAAGCACAGGCTTTGAGGAGAGCAGGGAAGGTGAATTTGGACGTACAGAGAGGGAAATAAGATTGTTTGGCATATAACTGAAGGGCCTCGAAATAACGTCCTTGTTGGACTAAATCTCTGATGCTGGAGTTCAGCAAGGAAGGTACATGGGTTCCAAACAGAGTTGATAAAGGGCGTAATTTGATCGGGTTGCGGTACATATCATCATTTTTTGAAGCTGAAAAAGCTTGTTTTGCTTCTACTTTTCGAAGCAGAGTTTCGTTTCAGGACATGGCGCTGGAAGTACAACGTCAAAAGCTAGACCGACTTCCCGCCTTTTAAGTGTAGCGTGAAAGCGTGCTCAGTAGGATGCTTATTCTCACGACCATTCATGCATGAAGAAGGCGTCTTGAGTACGGGATAACGTTTTCTCCTTTTCCGTTAATACCGACAGTTAATTGAAGTACGATATAAATACGATGAAATAGCAAGAATTTTGTACGTGGAATATTTTGCATTGATCAACAGACAAATGTTTTCTACAAAATTCTTCACCTCATAAAGAGGATGTTTTGAGGAAGAGGCGGAAACAGAAAAACGGAAGACAAATGATTCTGCTCTTCGTCGTACTTTGATACTTCGGCCTGTAATCTTTTACAATAGCACTATCTGTTTAGAGTATTGCTGCTGCAGTATCGAGTTTTTGTTTGTCTTTCCACCCATCCATAGGTTTTAAACTTCTTCAACCTGCACGAGATAAGAATTAGATTAAATTAATTAATTATTTTTTTAAAAAAAAACACTCCATTCAGTATTACAGAAAAGTGCAACAGTGGTGATGTGTAATCATCTAAGATCGTGCAGGATCAACCTAAAGAATTCTCTTTCCTTGTGTTAAATGGACATGGGCAAACCTGAGGGAGGGCCATCAACTCATAAACTGCTTTAGTGGGTGTCAGTTCTTTGTCAATAATACGGGCAACTGCTGTCAAAACTGGCATTTTAACCTTATATTTCTGGGCCAGTGTAATTACGGCTCCAGCTGTTGATACACCTTCAGCCACCTAAAAGCTGAAGCGGTTAGATAGCCAGTCCAATTAGTTACACCAGCTACACAAGTCTGCTAGTAAGATACTTTTTTAAGGACCTGATTCATGGAACTCAGTATATCATCAAGACCTTCCCCTGAGCCAAGGCGAACTCCAACCGTTCTATTTCTTGAAAGATTCACAAAACAAGTGAGCATGATGTCTCCACTTCCCGACAAGCCAGTTAAGGTTGTTGATTTGGCACCCATCTTCATTCAACACAGATCAGTATCAATAAATACTCAACACAAACAAAACTGTGGAATTGGCAACGCCTATACGAGAAACAGAGAAACAAACAAGGCAGGCATGACCTTGCACTCGTAAATAAATTACCAAAACACGAGAGAAGTCAAACATCATGAGAAAAGCACCAAAACAAAATGTCAAATTACTTTGAGCTGTCATAGAATATAGGTACTGAAATCAGATAATTAAACAACTTTTAGAAATATAGAAGGCCATCAGTAGATTCCGTAATCTATTAGAAGACAGCACTATATTGCTCATCCTGCACATATAAATCATGTGCATGCATCAGAATGACAGTCCAGAAAAATATCACCATGGCATGATACTCACTAAAGCGAGACCTGCAATGATGTTTAGACCTCCAGAGAGTTTCCAAATAGTCTGATTGACATTTAATTTAAACCCCCAAGTTTTTGTTAAAATCCTAATATGCAGTTGGACCAATGTGTCTCTTCAAGTGCATAGCAGTACCAGCCTCAAATTCTGGATTTGCTACTCTCTAATTGACATGTACAAGTAACTTGAACATGAAACACATTTCTAGGGAAACAAACTTAGATGCTTGAACATACAAGTATGCATAAGCACAAAGTTAATAATTCAGGCAGTTATAATCTCATACACAATTTTGCTTCCTCCAAGTGATCAAGGAGAAAGTAGGATTGAAGCAATAAGTTACACGATACTCTAGCCTTGGATAACTTGTAAAGGGTATCCACTAATGGTTGACATAACATCAGTTTTCAGATTTCCACGCAAGTTAACTAACCTTTGTTGCCAACCAACGTATCTCAGAGCAGCCTTGTGCAACTAATGCTGCCATTGAATTGTTACCCAGATTGAGTCCATCCACAATCCCAGCTGCTATAGCAAGTACATTCTTCAGCGCACCTGCAATTTCAACCCCTGTAACATCACTGCAACAACAAGGTTACAAGCTCAGCTGAGCATTTAGGAACAAGATTCAGCCCAATGAACCCATTTGCCAGTAATATACAGAACTTCTGTGTGTCAGAAAGAAAAAGAATGATGTTTTGAAGTCTTCTTTTCTAGATTTAAAAGAAATCTGCTACCTGGATGTACTAATCCTCATGTTTCTAGAAGCTAAAAGTTGCTGAACTGCATCTGCCATCTTCTTGTCCTTTGATGCCACCACCATTGCTGCATTTAAGAATAGATACTTATAATCACGTCAAACAACAATTTCCCATCTAAATTACAGTCTTCACAATAAAACATATTCAACTGACCTGTTGGCAATTTCTTCATCAATTCCAGTGCAAAAGAAGGTCCAGATAGAACAATAAAAGGCTGGCGAGGATTTTTTAGTGCTTTTGGAATTATTTGGGACATCATTCTTAACGTATTCAGCTCCAAACCTTTGCTGAGGGATATAAAAGGTAAGCCCGGATCAACAAATGCAGCAATCTCCTCAAGGAATGCTGAGCTGAACTGCAATCAAATTTAGCTGACAACCTGTGTCTTATTCATAACATCACAGCAGAAAAGAATCATAATACTCATTATAATATTTGAAACAGTAGATTAAACAGCAGCTGTTGATTATTCTTGTAATGAGTCGAGTTAATGGAAGAAACTGGCGTATTTCAGGTAGGCTGGAAAATGTGAAGAAATAAATAAATAAAAGCACAACCTGATCCAACTTTTTTGCTTGGAAACAAGCAGCAACACAGAACTCCTATGATGGGTGGGGGAAGAGGGAAGGTACCTGCACTGGTACAGCATGGAAGCAGAAATCTGCACCCATCAAAGCGGCTTTGGCATCAGTCGTTGCAATAACATTTTCAGGTAGCTGGTGGTCAGGGAAATACTTGCTGAAATCAATGAACAATTAAGATGAGTTCAAAAGAAAATCAGATTTTACGCTGAAATGGGAAAGCAGAGGGAAAAAGTGAAATTGCATGAGAGGACAGTACATTGACAGAAAAGGGAATTACAAGAGTGCTGGATATACAGCTTTTTGCAGACATGCGCAAATAATGGTACAGAAGAGAGCAGGGGAAAGGAACTCACCAATTACGGTGTCTCTCATTTATAGATCGACATACTTGAGGATCCCGTACAAGTATATTAACTTCTAGTTGGGCCTTTCTTTCTGCAACATGAGCAGCCATTGCTGTTCCAAAAGATCCACCTCCGAGCACCACCACCTAAAGTCCTCTAGTCAGTACCAAATAAAAAATAAATTATCCTTAAAATCCCAGAACAAAATACCACCACATCCTCCAAAGAGGGGGGGAGGCCTTGAAATCCAAAAGGAGGGTCTAAACATAACCTCAACAGGAATGATGAATAATGAGTCCTAAGTGGTTAACAAATCATTCCTCTGAGCATCGTCACCTTTAAGAAATGACTAACCAAGTTCAGGGGCACCTGGAGTCTGGCCACTTGTTGTCGGTCTAGCAAGGGCTAGGTTAAGCAACGTCAAACTGTTTCCATATTGTCAGTGCCTCCTGTGTTATGTTATCATGGAAAAAACCACCATTTCGAAGCCAATCCAGGGTATCAATCAGTTTAAAATGGTTAATTGAAACTAAATATTGAACTGCTGAGCAGTAAGGAATTTGTCCAAAACAAAGAAAAAATATGGCTCTTACCAGCTTGACTTCTGCAGGTGCTAGTCCATTTTGGGCATGGTTTTTACACTAATGATGAAGGTCTTGTGAATGTGTTTTAGAAAGTACTTTGCATATGATTTCCATTCAGTGAAACACCTCTTTCATCACTTTTACATTCCAATGGATCAAATAATTTCTTTAGAAATGCATTCAAAGGAGCTACTCTAGGTGACTTCCTGTAATGGTTTATTTTTGGAAAGTTAGAAAGGCTTTATGCAACTCACAGCAAAACGTCATACTTCACCCGGTGAACTTGGCAACCTCTAATGTACAGCAAGTAAAAAGCTTGTCCAAAAACCAAAAACTACTGGTAACAAGCGCAAAGCATCTCCAAATCCAAAACTTACAGATATATTCAGCCATAAGAAAAATTTTCCAAAAAGAAAAAGCAAACCTTTCAGATAAATAGCAGTAAGAAACTTTTTTCCATAACCGAAAATTTCTATAAGCAAAGGAGCTACATTGATTGAAAGTGTCCTCTTATCAACGAGACAAGATAATAGAATCTCAAAAAAGCTATCAATGAATAAACTGCAGGTGAATTTCCACCCACATTGTGCAAAAAAAACACGCACATGTGATTGAAGACAGATGCGTTTCACATCCAATTTACAAAAGAAAAACAGGAAAAATGCATAGAAATGGAATATTACTACCTTGTTAGCGCGTTCAAGAACGTCTGTTTTGGCCTTGGAGCGCCAAGAGCGGGACCAGCGAACCAGCTTCTCCCAGGCCACTTGCACCACCTTGCGGCGGTCCTTGGAGCCTTCAGGCGGCGAAGATGGAGGTTCCATAGTTTCATCATCCGCGGGAGCAGTGCTGCCGCCTGAAGAAGCGTAAAGAACCACGGAACTGGATTTCACAGGAAATTTTTGCACTACTAGGCTGCAAGTAGGAGGCCGCCGTTGGTAGTGGCACCGGCTCCAATCAAGCTGACTTGTAGTTCTATTGTTACTGGTACTGACAGGGAAGAAATGGTGCGAATAATACGCCGACGGCAGCGGAGACTCTAATCGGAGCGAGGCCACCATTGGCTTTGCGCCTCCAACAGAGCAGGAAGAGGCAGAGCAAGTGGTGTGTGCTTTTTGTCTTCTTCATCCACTGCTTTTTGTGGGTTTGTTTGTTGAATCACTGGCCTTTTGAGTACTTGTATCGCTATGGTCTCTCAGTGGATCTTCTATCCCACCGCTCTGTTTTATTTTTTATTATATTAATATTTTTTCTACATAAATATTATATTTTAATTTTTTTTAATTTTTTTAAAATTTAATAATTATTAATTAAATAAAAAATAAATATAATAATTTCAAAAAAATAATATATAATAAAAAATTAAAAAATATAACAGAAAATTTATAAAAAATCTATACAGCAGCTTCAAATTTGTTTTTTAAAAATTAAATGCGAGAGAGGGAGACGGAGCCTTCCTCTTTTCTCAAGGAAATTTTGGAGTTTTTTTTATTTATTTTTTGTGCTGAGTACCGTACAACCTTTTACAACTGGTCCTATGTCAGTTGACTGACGCGGCGACGAAGGAATGGAGATGGACCCATCAATGCTATTAAAAATTCTAAAGGAATTAAATTACTTCTAAAAATATTTTTTTTAAAAAAAATCCTCAGCAGGAGGTTTTGACAATTGTGCAAGTCCTATGCCACAGTACCAGATTTACAAATTAAATCACAAAGGTATTCCGCCGCCCCAAAAAGTTTCTTCTTATAATGGTTTTCAAGATCGTGTGTTCGAGTTATTTTTTCATCACTCGTGTATTTTTGAGAGGCGAAATGCACAAATGCAGAGAGATTTGACCGATAAAATTAAGATATTTTCTGTATTGAACCAACGACAGTGAAATATATATATATATAATGTATTGAACCAACGACAGTGAAGTATCATCATCATTATTCAATTATTATCATAAGTGAATAGCTAAACTCAACTCAATCATGTTGTTCCACTAATCAATTTAATTACCGGTGCCACCACCATCCACTAACACGCAGTTCACACGCTTTCAAATTCTCAAGATACCCACTGCGCGAAATTTTAGCTTCAACTATTACGTATTGTAGCAGTTAATATTCTTCCCCCTTGCGTTGCTTCTTTCGACACCCTTTTCACCTTACCGCGAATATTCGCATTCTTGTGTGTTTAGCTAAGTATAGTACTCCCAGTTATTTTTCCCTTCCAATTCCAAACCCTTTATTATGGTTTTGCTCTTTTCTTGATAACCATATATTTGATTATAGGTGTTCATCATCGTCTCCAAAATCCTTCCGCAGGGCAGAGCCCCGGAGAAACAGGTCTAGAAGGTACTCTGGAGTAAATCATGGAGTAGTTACATACATATATATATATATATAGTTGGTGAAGATATGTGAGCAGTCTTGGTATTACTAGCTAGAACCCAATTTTGAACTCAAGTATTTTTATTCGGCTTTGCGATAACCAGGTTGAGAGGACCATGGGTCAGCATCATCACCACCACCACCACCACGGCCAGTGCCATGGAAGGCATGACGGCCCATATGATGATCCAATGTTGGCATGTTGCTGCTGTCCCTGTTCGCTAGTTTCATCCGTATTCAGGATGGTGAAGAGGTGCCTTTTTGTAGCTTGTTACCCAGTGTTGCAGTGTTTTGGATGGGATGATCACCGACACCACCATCATCACAGGCATTTTTATTGATTTTTTTCCCCCGCGTTCTACTTCCAATTGAATAATTATTTTTAATCAAATCAACTCTCAGAAGCTTAAAGCTTCAATACAAGCCATGCTTCTTCTTCTTCTTCTTCTTCTTTTTCCTTCTCCGGAGTTGGAACCAAATTAACTTTCTTGGGGAATAGTATTTGATATTCTCACTTGCTTAGTCCCTTCCACCCTCCTGGCTGGATATGATGAATTAGTAGAGTAGTATTTGAGAAACAATGCGAAAGAGCAAGAAAAGATCCAAAGTTCACATCAACGGTCACAGCTCGAGAGGCAGGAGAGCCATTTGCTGCCACCAGTGGTCACTGCTTTTCGAAGGTGGCGGTTGTTTTGTTTTGTATGACTGTATTCGGAACCTTCTTGAAGTTGCAGCATTTTGAAATTGATATTGATTTCTTATTCAATGGGTTCACATGATCGGATCGAATCCAATCATTTTGGATTTCTTTTACAAAGTTGATTCCTAAACCGCAATCAGCGCTTGGTATTCGAATCTCGTACCATTCACTTGTTTGGAGAGAATATGTGTAGTAGTAACTGCGTCGTCACTGTATCATTCACTAGGAAATGCATTTGCATTAGGAGTTAGGGCAAAAAGTAAAAGAAAGGGACAAGAAATAAAGGCAGTTTTATAAATTGATACGTTTCAAGAATTCTCGCGAATATAAAGGCTGTTTTATGAGAAAACGGTAAACAACCTAATTAGATCACAATGCTCTATTCGTTTAACATATTCATTCGAATCACATTTATGCTCTCACGCTGAAAATTTCAAGGTCCGGGCTCATCTTGGTGGTTGTTTAGTTTTATTAGGAGGACAGGTGGAACCAGTACACTAGTAAGGAAACTTTTTTTTTCCTCTGTTTGTGCAAACAAAAATGTGAAGTTGAACACATTGACCAAACCTCGTAATAACGCCATTTCGCACCCGCAAATTTTGACCGAGAACCAAGCAGAACGAAATTGCTTGCAGGGCATGGTTTCGAGTTTCGTGCCGCATCTCCGTTCTTTCCTTTCTACGCAAATGGAACTGAGGGCCTAAAGAACGCGATTCTTGGTTGCCGTCCGGCGCTAATGTTTCGACTTTCTGATGCCGGAAGCGGTGAAGAGTGGTTGAAAAAGATACAATAAAAGAAAGAATATCACAGACCTGCCCTCACATGCGAATGTAGGGATGGCATCAGATTACATAAACAAGATTAAAAAAAAAAAAAATGGTTTCATACGGATATGATGCATGCGACGTAGGCGTAATTATTTAAACCAGATGGGAGCTTCCAATAATTTTCTCAGGGGAGGAATGTAAATTATTCTCAAAACAAATTACAACAAATGGTCCCTACGCTTTATGAGAACCACCCACCATTTTCTTCTGATATAACTATCGAGTCCACGCCCGGCTGTAGCAAAACCGGGATAAAGCGTAAAGAAGAATGACTCTCTACGATTCGAGCTTACAGTTTGTACACTATTTTCAACACCCTTGCAATGCATCTAAGAAGGCAAGAAATAATACGCACGCCCCAGGAAAAATCCGAAAATTCAAGGACTCTGCGCATAAGAGGTTCAGTCTGCAAAGTATTCTGTCTGATGTTCACACGATCCAGGTACTATTAATGCGCTCCATCATTTGATGCTGGCATTGGGAATTGAAGACTTGCACGGCCCAGCAGATGTCATAAATGGTACCCCTTTGAATGTGGCTATCCCACTGCTATCGGTCAAAAGATGCTGCAATCGAGGTAACCCCATGTTAGCATTAGTATACAAATTATAGTGAACAAAGATCGAAAATGCAGCTCACGCAGAGTGAACTCCAAAACGTCAAAATTCAACCACATAAATTACTCTTTAACATGTTTTTGCATACATATCTCTGATCTATTAACAAAATTTACTTCCATACAGAACAGGAGAGCAATATTTCAAATGCATGTAAGCTCTACAGCTACTGGTCAGACAGTGCCAACAAGCTCAGAAATGAAGTGGCACGAAGTCTAACAGGCCAAATCCTGGGTTTCCAACAGTTTCATCAAATTGACGAACATCAAAGCCATCACTAATGTTCCCAATATTCACCAATAAACTAACGAGTCATAAGATCCATGTATTGAAGAGGAAGTACATACTGGAGTTATCTTCTCCAACTGTTTCTTTTTGGGGTTCAGAACATCTTCTGGTTTTCCCTCAAATCTGCATGGAAACATTGGAAGTAGAGTGCAAGTTGATTACACTATCTCAGTTGAAGAAAAAAATCTGTCTATTGAACAATAACACGAGTTATTATACAGAAACTTCCTGAGTAACTAAAAACTGGTTATTTAGATACATAATTTCTGAATCCAAATAACAAATGGTAATTCATTAGAAATTCTGGGCTGCTGATTACTAACAAAAGCATAATAGATTCTACATTATAGTGCATCCTGCTTTAGTATATTGATAAACATTCAGCAATAAGCAATCACATACAAAAAATCAGCTTGGTTATAAGCAATAATAACATGGCCTTATCTTCTGCTTCAAGCTAGGTTTTGTTACTCCAAAAACAGCAACACAGTTAACTTACAAATTGGATAATGCAATTGCACTTGTATGAAAATAATTAAAATCATATACCACACGCGCACACCAACAAGACCTCTTCTTCACTTTCTCAAGAAATCTAAATCAACCAACCAAAGCCTCAACAGTAAATAAGCCTTGGACAAGAAGACAACCACAAAAGAAATCTGTTGAAGACAGCCCCAAAAGAAACCCGTTGCTGAAATCAACAGGTTCCCCACAATATCTATGTTTCGAAAACCCCTCTATCTCATTCCCAAAGTTTTTACCAAATATAAGCCAGCCGAAGAGAAATGATAAGACTGCAAGCGAGCGAGCGAGCAAAAGATGAAGGGAAAAAGAACAATGCAAGGAATTTAGTAGGATAATTTCCAAACCAGAGAGAGTTGGTAGAGATGGAAATAGGCACATTTATTTCTCTGATTCCCTGCTTGCATTTGCCTGAAAACTTGAAATTTAAAGCACGAAGAATTTGTTCAAGAGATTCCTTGATGTCTATTATGATAGGTAGAATTAAGTTAACTAATCAATATCCTAGTCCATCTCCATATCTGCACAAGTATTTAGTCCTTTAAGTAGAACTATAGAATGCCTAAACCTGCAACACTGTAGTGAAACTATGTTTCCTAATGGATTTAGTTGATGATTATAGTGACAATAGTTACTATTTGAATTTACACTGATCAACGTTCTAGTTCATCTCCTTCTCCACAGGTGTAATGTTTCCTCTCCGAGATATTACAAAGGAAATTAAGAATTCCAGAGAAACTTGACAAAAGAGAAGTACCCCTCAACCAAACAAGCTAAAGAGTCATGAAGGAACTAGAATGTAAGATTATTTATTATGCAAAACACTTAATTTGGAACAAGAAAGAAACTGTTGCAGGAAAGCAATCATACAAACTGCAATACAGAACAAGCAATTCATTTTAAAAGCATGAGAAGTGGCAGTGATTCTAGTTCCTTTGTTGATTTTTATAATCATCACTATAAGTTTCATTCTAAACTCATACCCGGCAAATGTAACAGATTCCCCAATTTTGGCCCCTTCTGGAGCTATAAGTGGCTCCACAACAGAATGATCCTGATTAGAAGCACATAATACCTGGAAAGAAAAAGTAGCAATAATATTAAAAATACACCTTAGACACTGTAAATTAAACAGAATCTGGATATACAAAGAAACAATCATGAACAAGCATCAAGCCCACTTTTTTGCATACTAAAATATGAGTAAAACACAGAAAGTATCTTATATGAGCAAACTCTCATTACTGATGGCCTGCTCATACCAGTTACTAACAACGTTAATTTCTAAATAGGGTCTCCTGTGTAATAAATGTCCAGATTGTGCATATTTAAATGTAACAGCAACCTCTAACATAATATTTCTCGCTATTGAGCCAAGCTGCCGCTTATTAAACGCCACATCAAAGAGAAAGCACATAATGCGCAAGGCATATCAAGAAAATTAGAATAACCCAAGATGACAAGGAAAAGAAAAGAAGAGGTACCAATCCCTCTGACAGGATATCTCTTAGCTTTGAAGGTTTTACATTTGTTATCAATACAACATGGCGATTCTGCAAGATACAAAGAAACAGCAAAAAATATTGTAGAAAGTGAAAAAAATTCAAAACAAAAAACTGCTTTAAAAATCTAAATACACAGGCCGATATCAATCAAACATTATCGATACCGTCAACTGCTCAGGACTAATAAATTTAGCCAGACCACTGACGACTTGTCGAGGTTTGCTCTCTCCAATATCTATATCCTCAACAAGTAAGCTGCAGCACATATGGACAAAAGAAGAACAATCATTTAGCCTATCCACTTAAGCAGGGGATCTTGAATGTCGATTTAACATTTACCTGTCAGCTGATGGATGCTTAGACACTTTACGAACAAGACCAATCTGTATCTTGAGCAAACTAACACTGACTTCAGTATCTTTTGTATGTTTATCAACTGTTTCTTTACAAGTTACTTTTTTATTGTCAGCTGCTGCTTGGTTTTCTGCTGCATCCTTCTTCTTCAGGTTTAGAAGCATAACAAAGTAGTCAGAGAGAGAGACATAGAAACCAATGTCGAACTAACAAGATTTACAAGACAATTGTCAGCTTCTAAAGAAAGGTCCATCATTCAATGAGTAGAGAGCACAAGACAATAAATATTCAATATCATCGCCATTGTTTCCCAAGGAATCCTGTAATTTAATGGAAAGAAAATACAAATGCCAAACCTCCAATGCTTTCAAAACATTACAAATTAATGTTTCCAAAATACTGCAAGAGAGTTGTATATCTTGTGAAGCCAATGCATAGATAAAAGTTTAAATATTTAATTGAAGTTTACCATAATATTCAAGATCTAATTTTAAACAAGTTATCGAGAGGAAGTGGGTATTCAATTGCCTTGTTCAGGAACTTCTCCAGAAACATGGATAAAAGTTTTTAAGTAAATATGCTTGAACAGAATCAGAAAAGGACCTATTTTGCTGATGATGAA